ATCAAACGTTTACCAAAGAGATATCAATAAATAACATTTAAAAAAGTACAAAAAAAAACAATAAATAACAGTAAAAAAATTCAAAAGTAAGATGACCAACTTCAGAAAATTCAAAATCAGGACATTAATTAATTAATTAATTATAATAAATTTATTTCATAACACAAAAAGTAGGTATTACCAGTGTTTCTGTATAATAACTTAAATAGAGTGTGGTTCAAAAGTCTGGAAACGATTTTATTCTAGTGAAACTATCAATTTTTTTGGCAAATAAATTTATGCCTATAAAAAAGCTATTAAAAAAAATGAATATTAATTAATTGTTTATACTTACGAGATAAACATAGTAAAAATTTTTTTAGACGAGTTTGTTTTTTGTTGTAAACCTCACACTTTTTTGTTAAAAAAATGTTTGACTTAGGTTAATGTATGTATACAAAAAAAGAAGTTTAAAGAAAATAGTACATGCCCAAAGTTGCAAAATTCTTCAAATTGTTGAGTTTTGAAAAATAGTGTTAAATATGAAAAAATTAGGAAATAATTTAAAAAAAATTGATTAAAAAAAATTGCATGAATGTTTGTAAATCGAGTGTGAAAACAGCTTGGGGGTATCAACTTTTAATTAATGCAATTAATTTGAGATAAGTAAAATTAGGGTATGTAAAAGCCGAATAATAGTCTCAAAAATTAGTCAGTATTGTTTTTGATTTTTTTACAAATTTTCAAAATTATCTTTAAAAAAATCGATTTTTATTCAGATTTAACATGCGAAATTGTGGAAAAGTTGAAAAAATTGTTTTTTTTTTAAATGAAGTTTACACAATTCTTTTAATACTTTTAAAATTTTGATTAATTGGTCCAAGAAAACAGTTTGATGAATCGATTCAAAAATTTACTGAGTTGCTGGGGGTATATTAAGCTGGACACATTAGTCTTCCCATAAATATTTGTGAATACACCGTAGAATTAATAAAACAACAAAAAAAGTTACTTTTTCCTCTTTTTTTAATGAATGTTGAGAGAATTTTTTTTTTCAAAAAATGATAAAAACATCTTGTAGGAAATTCATTTCAGTTTTTGAAACTATTCTTATATTCTCTGTGCGCTCATTGGTTGGTGAGATTTTGATGATCAGAGACAAAAAAATCCTTTTTCATTAAAAGTCAACCATCTCAGCAATAAATTGACGTGAAAAAAATTAAAAAAAAAAAAATTGAAGCTAAATGAACAAGCTATCCAGCTCATGCATTGATTTAACTCATAAAAAAGTCCGTGGACCAAAAAAAAAGAATAAAAATAACAAATTTTTGTCTCGCGCTATTTCTTAGGCTTGCGTAATGAACGTAGCTCAAAAAATTTTTTGCCAAAAGTTATCAAGACTTGACATTTGAAGCTTTAAAATGATTTTTTTAATCTAAATACGACTACTAAATACGAAAATTTAAGAATTTTTTTGTTTCCTTAATTTTTTGGAATAGTGAATAAAAAGTTTCTGTAGAATGTTTTGTTGTTTTGAAGTATTTGAGATAATAACAAAGAGGTTTTCCCCAAAGCGCTTAATTTTGAATTAATTTGAAAAATGGAAAAACAAAATAGAATAACATAAACGATGAATTTGATCCATTTTCTTAAAGGGGAAAATAGAATTAAAAAAAATTTAACACATATTTAACATTAAAAGTGATAAACAACGCAACGTTACTAAAAAAAAGATTAGTTAGTATAAATACGAAGTTCCAAACATCATTCAGAATTATTTATTATTATGTATTTATTTTTTTACCTTAAGCAAGAGAATCACTAAGTCAAAATTTTGGTGAAAAATTCAAATGTTTTGACATTGCTGCTCCATACAAATTCTTCGCATCAAAATAAATATATTAAGTTATGATTTTTTTTAACAGAAATCACCAAATCAAAATTTTTGTGAAAAATTTAAATATCTCGACATTGCTGCCTCATATGAATTATTCGCATCAAAATACATGAAGTGAAAGTTTTTTTTAACAAAAATCACTAAATCAAAATTTTGGTAAAAAAATGTTCAGACATTGCTGCTCCATACGAATTATCGCATCATACATTCCTAGTGGTGCCAACGTTTAAAAAATTTAACATTTACTTGAAAAAACAGACTTTAGACTAGTTTCTTTCATTTCTTTTTTTGTGTTTCAGGTACGAGATTTGGAGGCAAATCATCGAGTTGTCGGACCCCCAAGGGGAGCAGAACGCGTACAAGGTGCTCGGCGTGGGCCCTTCCTCAAGTCAAAGCGAGATTACCGCCAAATGGCGGGCTCTGAGCAGGGAATGGCATCCTGATAAAGTCAAGGATCCTGAGCAGCGCCAAGCGGCTCAGGACAAGTTTATGGAAATTCAGCAAGCCTATGAGATCTTGTCCAATATTAAGAGCAAGAGAAAGAGGAAAAATAAAAAGTCTGTTGCCAATGATTGATAGTGCTAGTTTCGATTTATTGTTATTTATAATAATATAACTGTGTTTTATCATTTGAGATTTTATTAGATTAAAGATTGAGCCAATTGAGTTGAATTGTGTGTAGTTACAAAAAATTGAACATTATACAAGTCGTCATCTATAACAGCGAATAACATACTACGTTTTTTGTACAACTGACATTTTAGTTTTTTTAATAAAAAAAACTTAAAGAAGGGAACCTAAAACAAAAAAATTAAGAGAGACAAAAATAAAAACGGGAAATGAGAAGAAAGACGGCAAATGACATTTTAATTTTTTTACTTAA